TTTACATGGTTTCGTTGAGCACTGAGTCTACTTCCTGCAGTGGTAGGTTGTCCTGGGGGGTGAATACTTCTTGTAAGTGTTGTGCAAACAATTCAGCTTTTTCATGATCGCTTCTTGCCCATCTGCTTGGAGTAGTAGTGCACTTACGTATTGGTGAGATAACTGATGTTGGTCGTCTTTTGTTCCGTATGGGTTTCCAGATAGAGCTGTCTTGTCTTGAGAGCTTAGCAGCATATTTTTCCAAAGATGTATTCCTTAAGTCCTGTAGTTGTAGTTTTAGTTTGTTGCTGAGTTGGTTGAATTTTAGTTTGTTTTCCAGGGAATTGTTTTTTGCCAGAGTGATCTTGCTCTTCTTTTTTTGGCAATTAATTTTTTTATGCTTATTGGGACGTCGGTGTTGGAATGTAGGGGTTGCCATTTTGGCTGCTTCGTGTAGTAGGTTTATGAAATGTTTGTAGTCTCTTTCTATGTCCGTTGGGTCCTTCAGTTTAGTATTTAGTATTGTGTTGGTCTCTATGATTTGTCAGAATAGTTCTCAATTTGTTTTGGAAGTATGGAGCTTGGGCTTGGATTTTTTTGGGAGTATTGTTGTGCTTATTGTTGCTATGATAGGAGTATGGTCAGAGGTCAGATCTAGACTTGCGGTGACGTTTATGTAGGATGGGGAAATGCCTTTTGTTATAAAGAAGTCCAGTAGATCTGGAATTTTTTCCTTATCTGTTGGCCAGTATGTCGGAGAGCCAGTAGATATGCATCAGCAGTTGTTGTCAGTGATCGTCGCGTGTAGTTCTCTTCCTTTTGCGGTGGTGAGCCTTGCTCCCCAGAAGGTATGTTTGCTACTGAAGTCACCTCTGGCTATAAATTTGTTCCCCAGGCTGTGGAAGAAGGTTTCATAGTGGGTTCTCTTAAGATTAAATAGAGGACAGTAGATCGCAGAAACAGTGAAGGGGTACGGGAAGGTTGTGATTTTGATTGAGGTAGCTTGGATGTGTGGCTCTTCGTATTTCTGTAAGATGAAATGATCTATAGTTGCTTTGATTATGATTGCTGTTTCTCCATGTGCTTTGCTGTCAAGGTGGTTGGTCTGGTAGATTTTGTATGTTGGTATGTTGATATTACTTTTGTCGGTGAAGTGGGTTACGCTGATTAGTAGAATATCTATAGCGTTTATCTTTAGGAATATTTTTATTTCTTCTTGATGATTTTGTAGGCCGTGCTAGCCATTGTGCTATTCTAAGAAATTTGAACATTTAATATATTTTGTTGACGAGTGTAGTGATCATATCTGGTACCATAGTGTTTTGTTTCAGTAGTTTTCAGTAGTTGTTGTAGTAGGTTTTTTAATTTGTCTGGGAATTTGATTAGTATGTGGGTAGATTCTTCTGGCAGAGCTCAGTTGCGTCCTGTAGCGTCTGCGTAGCTTCTGGGTGATGATGGTTCCGGTGCTGGAATATATCTCGCATAGCTTTTGGTTGAGTAAATAGGTGTGGTGGTAATTTTTTGGTGTATTGGGCTAATGAGGCCTCTGGTTATCTTGCGGTAGTGGTCGCAGCCTCTGTAGTTGGCTGGGTGGTCTCCTTCACAATGCGCGCATCTGGCTGGTGTGTTCCTTGTTTTCTTGCAGTCCGTAGTGTTGCGCGATCCACCACATTTGACACAGACGTATGGCTTATTGCAGTAGGTTTTTGTGTGTCCGTATTGTTGGCATCTTGTGCATTGTATGTTTGTTTTGTTGGAGTGCGGAGGTTCTATTTTTACGATTTTGTTTTGAAATCCTGTTATGTCATAGATGTTTTTGTTATTTGGGGCTGGTTCTAGGTGTACGGAGAACAGGTTTAGTGGTTCTTTGGTGGATTTGTGATGAATATTGATGATGTTTCTGACTCTGTGCCCCAGCTCAGCGAGTTCTTGTTTGATGTCTTCAATGTTGGTGGAGTGATGGAGGTAGTGTATCACAATTCGGAATGCTCTGTCTTCTTTTAGTTGATGTGTGTTGTAGTAGATTTGTTGTGTTTTGAATTCTCTCACAATTTTCCTGTATGCTTGTGGGGTTTCACAATTTATTTCGACCATGTTATTTGCTAGGCTTTTGGTGACATATTGTTCTTGTTCGGCAGTTTGTTGAATGCGTTTTATCATTTCTGAGTAGTTTTGGACACCATGAACGAATATTGGTGGTGGTTTGGCTATTTTCGGAGTCATAGTGATGACGTTGTTTGGGGTTTCCGGTTGGCTTAATAGGGGGTTGAATCGGTTTGTTGTCGTGGTGTCATTTAGAGTGGTTGGGTGGTGCTTCAGTATTCTTTTTCTTTTAGTGCTTCTAATTCTTTGCCAGTCATTGTTGCTGTTGTGGTGGCCATTGTTTTCATCATCTTCACTGGATGATGACATTTTTTGTATATGTTGTCCTCCTATGTTGTTGGTTGAGTTGTTGGGGTTTGTGTTGTGGTGGTTTGATAACTGGTAGGGGGTAGAAGAGAGGAGGTGGTTGCATTTGCGGATTTTGGGTTTGTGGTGGTGGTAGAGTCAGAGGAAAAGTAGTTGTGGGTGAGGTTACTGGGGGCCAGTTAGTGTTGTAGTGGATGTGGTTTTGAAGAATGCATATTGTATTGTTGAAGTCTGATGGGATATTTGCAGAGTACATTATTGCACTGATGGGATGTTTACATTACTATCATACCTGTTATTTGGAGATTCCAGTATGTAGATGTTGTGAACTGTGTGTGTTTTTTTTTGGTTTATATTATTTGTTTTGTTGTGTTTGTAGAGATGTTTTCTCACTGGAGTAGATCACAAGCATGTTTGATCTGTTAGTTCGTTTTCTTGAGTTTATTCACTATAAACACTCGATTCCTCGGAGTGCTACACTGATACAACTGCACTACTCAGAGTTTTCAACTCTGATCCTTGTCATTAAATGACCATAAAATTAAATAAAAACCATAAAACTGCAAAGGTTCTTAATTTCATTAAGAGTTATTGTGACTAATCATGTACATCTCTAAAACTGAGTTCTTTTAAGGTCTTGTAGTTTCTGTATGATTTTCTGTTCCCACCTTATGGTGGTCATTCTGTAACCAAAGCATGTAGTGGTGATTACACCCACAGAAATAAAACTTGTACAGTATGCAGTACTTATGTGTATACACAAGCAGGATGTAATATTTTTAACAAGATTTACAGACATGTGCTAAGCAATTATGGTTGTTTGGACCTCTGTCTTCTGCAGGGTGATGATGTGTAGTCTTACAGGTGGATGTCATCATTTTGGAGGAACACACCCTTTCAGTCTTCAGGGTTTAAATGTGTTAGGTGAGGAACTGCTTTATTTACATACAGTCTGGTTGTAAGGAAGGATGTCACTCAGATTCACAAGACAGGGTGATGGAACACAATCTGGGCCAATAAGAATGGTAAGTTTTTAAAGTGAAACTATCATTTCTGTCACAGAAAGAAAACAATATTGTCATCTCTCAAAAGAGCAACCTTTTCTCACAATTTCATTTCCCTCCTGGGATGAAGAACATGGTGTGCCCCTAAAAATGACCGTTTTTATATCTATCATTGCCATTAGCCTGGAAATGACTCCATTCCTAACGCCCTCCAATGAATCATAAGTGACCACCTTCCTTAAAATTAGGCTATATAACCAAGAAAATTCCTTACCCTACACACTTGAACCCTGAAGACAGAGGTAGAAAGCATGTACATCTGCCTACACACAGAGGGGTCCAAAAAAATGTACTCACTCTTTGATAGTCAATATCTTTGGAACAAAATGACATGTAGTTACAACTCTTGTGTGTGAGGAGAGAGAGGGAGAGAGAGAGAGAGAGAGAGAGAGTGTCATTGTATGTGTTCGAAGTGACCACCATCAGCGGCTAAACAGCGTCGATGCTGCCAGACTGCTGAGTGAACTATGACTGTCAGTGTGTCCAGTGTGATGGCTGCACATGACACTTCGATGGTTTCTCGTAGCGTGTTCAGTGTAGCTGGCTTTTGTCAGTAAACTTCATCCTTCAAGGTTCCCCATAGGTAGAAGTCGAGAGGTGTTAGGTCTGGAGACTGTGGTGGGTACTCAATAGCACCTCTTCGACCTATCCACTGTCCAGGTAGAGTGTCATCCAAGTATGCCCTGACATCTCGATGGTAGTGAGGTGGAGCACCATCTTGTTGTAGGTAAAATCTCTCATTTCCAAACAGCTCTTGAATGGCAGGGAAAATTGATGTCTGAAGCATATTGAGATACACCTGACCAGTTACGGTACCTTCAAAGAAAGGACCAATCAAACCATGTGATGACAGACCACACAACATATTAACGCCTGGTAGATTCACTTCCTTGCCCATGTGAACATGTGGATTTACAGGAGCCCAATACACACAATTGTGGCGGTTAACAGTACCGTTCATTTTGAATTACGCCTCGTCAGTACCACTTCAATACAGCCTTGTACTGCTCAAAGAACAACCTCTCAGCCATTGTTGCTGCTGTCTTCTGCTCGCAGCGCGCACACAGCACGACACTCACGCGACTCATGTGACCTTCGCCATCTGTTGAGAAAACATTACACTACACTACCGCACAAGAACTGTAACTACATGTCATTTTGTTCCAAAGATATTGACTATCAAAGAGTTAGTACATTTTTTGGACCCCCCTGTATACGGCAGACATGACCAAACTGTGTCTCACAAGCCACGTGCAGCTGTCTTGAACAGTTAGTGCAGCTCAAGGAGAAAATACCAATAATTTTTTTATGACTGGAAAAGAAATATAAAAAAATGTGATAATGTAGAATGCCCATGCCATCCAACTCCTGTCTGTTTGCGGTTGCAAAAATTCTGAAAATTATCACATTACAACTGCAATGTTCAGTAAATAGAACCACTGATGCTATATGGTGTCACCACCTGAAGACCACAGTATAAACTACTACAGAGAAAACCTCAAAATTAATTACAGTGTATGCAGATGTTATCCGCATAATGCAGTTTACCTCGCTTCAGCTACAAGTTGCCTAAGTAAGAGATCTGCCTTAACTTTCCAAGGAAACTTGTGGCTGTGATGATGCACAGCAACTAGGAATTCCTCACTGAAAATACTTCCTGACCACATTGGTCCTAATTCTATGGCAACTTTGCCTGGAAAATTACGTGAACACCCACATCCAAGTAAGGATGATGGTAACTCTGAAACAAAAAATTATACACATAAAATATTAAGAACCCAATAACAAACTGCATTATGTAAGTATTACACATATCCTAACCCAAATAATCTACAAGGACTGTTCTATGAAACCTGTCTGATGACTGTTCTAGGAAAAGGTGCACAGACCATCAGAAATAATCCCCATGGACCATGAACTGAGGCACTAGGAAATCAGTCCTCCCTGCAACAATCTGCCTGGATTGCTAGTGTGTCGCACAGCCATGCAATCACCTTCAACTGGCTGTATTCACCAGCAGTGCCATGAATGGGCTTTCACTTGTAACAACCATCACTGTATTCTTAGAGTTACAGAGCTGACCGATAACCAGGTTTAGAGTCAATCTGACTGCTAATATTATATATCGCCATATGACAAACTTGCCTCTTGCAAAGATGATCCCTTCCAGGAATGTTTGTTTTGTGTAGAGACAACAGAAAGGGAACTAAACCACAGACCATGTAGGGATAGTCTGATAATTAAACAAAAGACAAGTTTAACTTAATGATTTATAAGATGTATTATAATGAAAAGGGGGCATGTGGTAGCATTGTTGGTTGAGGCATTATACTACAAGCTGGAAGGTCACGGGCTTGATTCCCAATGAGGTCACTGGATTTTTTTCAGCTTACATAATCCTTTCAGCTGCACTATGGCCCCGAGGTCAACTCAGCCTCTAACAGGGAAATGAGTACCAGAAATCTTCCTGGGGGGTAAAGAGTGGCCAGCACATAGGGCTGACAACCTCACCACCATCTGTGAGCCGACTGTCTAGAAAATGTGGAAGCCTCAATGCCTACCAACCCTATGGGCCTCCATGGTCTGAAGAGAGGGGATGTGTGTGCACAAGAAAAACGATTCAGAATAATATGGTTGGTGCCAATTTCCATAAAACCATAGAATATACAGTCTTTGTTCCTCTGTGTATGACACACAAAGAGACCCTGGAACCTTTTTAAAACACAGTTAACTGAGTAGTCCTGCAGTTACCACATACCACAGAATGAAAACAACTCCTCTTCACCCTTACTTCAGATATTAACCAAAATCCAGATAAATTAGCGATGCATACAGCATCCACAAATGACTACAAATCTCAACCTACACTATGCACAGTGTGAACAGCTATCTGTTTACCATCAACACCACCAAGGAACTAGTCAGGAAATCTCTCACGTCTGAACTCAAATGTTCCACAAGTTATGCTTTTAGCTAATTTTGCTTTTAAGATATTAACACACACAATTAGGTAAGGTACTTATCCTTTTGTCTGCACACCCAAATGACCTAGACAGCTATGCCGGTGGGAGCGTAAGCTCCTGGTAGAACCACCCAANTGGGGGGGGGGGGTCTGACATGGGACTAACAACCACGTGCTGGAAAAATTTACTGTTACGAAACCACGAAGAAGCACAAGACCCACACAGTGTTGTAGTGTCAGTGAACAAGAAGGATGAGGAGGAGGAAGAAGACTTATCTTCTTATGGTCATGGCAGCAGACTACCCATAGGATCACCAGACTCAATCCAAGCAAACTTCCAAACCAACCATCCGCCTCAAAGGCAGCCAAATGACCCATATGTGGTAAGCAAGTGTCTATAAAACAGCTCAGCAACCCCCAGATAGCCTCTAGGAGCACCATGATGCCATACTTCTGCCAGACCATACTACCAGAGTTATCAGAAGAGAAACAAGGTAGGGGAACAGCCCATAGCTAAGAGCACAAGCCATAAAATACTGAAGTCAAAATATGCACTGTTACAACTATCTACTCTACAAACTATAAAATAAAGTACAAACTTTTCCTTGTCAAATCAAATCTTAATTAAGCTACATTTTTTCTCAGAACTAGAAGGAAAGATTATCATCACTGCTGAGTTGAAAGGGATCAAGTAACAGCATTCTGTCCACACCATATAAGGAAAGACCAACCATATCAGTACAGCAGTAATGCTCTGTATTTGTATTTGGGAAATGCTCAATTCAAATCCCAGCCAGGATGCCAGCCATCATATTTCTCAATTTGTCATTCATCTATCATCCCACCATTCAACACCAGTGTCATCCTTGCAGAACTGATCAACAGAATATCATGTGTTAGCAACTAGACACAGCGGTTGAACTGAGTACTCAATTCACTGACTGCTTATTATTTGTAACTAAAAATAACTATACTCTTACTAATCTACACTGTCTAGAAATTACTATGGCTGCAAAGAACTCCTACTTCTTCATTATTCATCGCCTGGTAGTGGCACCTAACAGTCGGGATCCCCTTTACTGCTTCCGCATTCAACAGCTATCTTCCTTGCTGGCTGGCATCTGACTATTAACCACTGACAGTGGTTCTAGGTATATTTGGATCAATGCCTGAAAACAACCATTAGCCAAAATATTCGATCAATCCTACGACTCATCAATGACAAATTTCAAAGTCCTCTGTTGATTCTTGCATAAGGCTCTCAGCACATGATATTGATCAGACCACAGTTTGAATGAAAACAACTGTATAAAATTCACCAAAGCTTAACTCTGTACAAATGAACAAAGCTCAAGGACACAATTTTATTTATGCATTTTCAGTGGTCCTGGGCTGGCTTGGCCAGCAGAGTGGTCTTGGTTTCTGGTCCTGTGGGACCCATGATCTTACTTTTTGTTCCATGACTCACAGCACAGACTTCATACACAACAACACTTCCAACAGTTCCTCTACCGTTGTCTGAATACTAACTGCCATGGGAATGCCTTTATGAGGCAGTTGTCTGGTGATGGGTGTCTTCTCTGGCTCCACTATTCCAGCTTTCAGGTGTTATGTCACAATATAAAGATCAGAACCAAGAGGCTGAAACCAGATGCAGAAAACTACACTCACACTCACCAATGGGATAGTTGGTAAGAGGATAAAAAGTTCTGTCCTCACACATAGTGCAATGGATGAGTTTCCTGATGTTCTGTATGCTTTTGTTGGCATGTGCTGAACCACGTTTAACAGTCACTACAACTGTGAATGATGATTTGAATGCTATGGAACACAGCACAATGAGGCCCTTGTTATATCGAGCAGCAGCCCTGAAAATGAAATAATGACCTTATTATACCCACATCTTCCTGCACTTGGGTGACTTTCCATCAAGGTTTCTGGTGTGTGTGGGGCAGTTTTGGAAAAAGTTGAAATTGGGGGGGAGGGGGGAAGGAAATATACCAAATATTAATGCCTTAATTTAAAATTATTTTTAAAAATAGCAAGGTGATCAATTTGCCGCCATATCCTGTTGATTTCTCCCTTTGATTACCCATTTGACCTTCAAGATGGAGGTAGCATGTTCCTTTAAAATGTTATACCCTCACTTAAGTACAGTGTTACAACCAAGAAGGCTGCATTCTTCATAATCATTGGTATGAGACACTCTAATGCATGTTAAGAGTTGCATCCTTAATTTGTTTTTGTGGCTTAGTTTATGATGCTGTCAAGAGCTACACTACAGTGTTAAATGGAAGGATAACTGATCAATGAAAAATCAGAAGGGATTCTGAAAGAAGCAATCACAGGCAACTCAAGATACTATCCCAGCATTCTTCTGAAGCAACTAAGGGAAACTATGAAAACCCTCAGTCTACACAGCCAGTTTCTCAGCCAAGGTTTGAATGAAGCACTTCCTGAATGTGTGATTTGAAGTGACAGTGACACTGTGATAAATCCATTGCCAGGATATGACTAGTGAAGACTGAGAACCTGGTGTGTGTGTGTGTGTGTAATGGTAAACTGGAAAGTGTGTAAATAAGCAATAGTGTCATATTGCCTGTAGTTTCGAGCTGTGTGAATGAATATATGCAATAAATCCAATCTTCTAATCCAAACCCTGTCTATAATCACTAATATACGTGACAATATTAATACAATTTGTTTTATTTTTTATGACAAATACTACCTTAGTGTTAAATATACTGTCACCTGTAGGATGGTATGCATGACGAGAATGACGAGTTTTAGTTCGGACCACTGGATTTATTAGCACCTTGGTTATACATTCTTTCTTAATCACACTCAAATTAAAGCGCTATCGCTGATTTACACACTTCATAAATCACTGCTGCATGCAAACACTAGTCCTCTCCAGGTAACATGTCTCAACACAGAAATTAGAGCTTCAAATCACTCCAAATATTGCACATAATTAAGGTTTTCAAATAACATTTTAAACCTTGGCAGGTTTTTTATGAACTTCCCGTTACTGTTACTTATACACACTCAAACAGTCTGAAATACTGAAAACATTGAACTGGTTATTCCTGGAAGCTTGTTATATAGCCTCTGCACAGACCATGCACAGAAAACACTATACTCCTGTTGTTGTCTTGCATGTATTCAGTTACGAGGTGTCTAACGGTCAGTTACCTAGCAACACTCTGTCCATCCATGTTACAATATCTATTAAGTACACACTACAAATACTCTAATAACAAAGTTTTACTTCTCAGAGATACTGGGTTTTCAGGCTTAGTCCATCGCCTGGATTCTAAATAACTAAGAAAAGACACAACATTTCGGAAACTGGATCTGTTTCCATCCTCAGGTGAGGGAAGACACCTACTCTGTTGGGTCCCTTAGAAAGAGCTAGCCTCAATCACTGGACAACCGATGTCACAAAACACTAAGGCTATAAACACCTGAGACCAGGCTAAGTCCATGAGAGCTAATAGAAAAAATATACACTAAAAATTGTTCCAAGCAACAGAGTAGGTGTCTCCCCTCACCTGAGGACAGAAACAGATCCAGGTTCCAAAATGTTGTGTTTTTTCTTAGTTATTTAGAATCTGGTTGATGGACAAAGTCTGCAAACGCAGTATCTCTGTGTGTTATACACCACTGTCAGAACCCTAAAGTGTTACTTCTGGTTAGTTATTAAGACCGATAATTTTTATATGTGTAGTTAGGATATTAATATTACTTAATATTACTTACTATTTATCCTCGTCGGGGAGGCCGGTACTTCTACGTTACCAGTTCCTCCCATAAGGGCCGTTTCCCTTTTTTCGTTTTGGAGGGGGTCGACCCCTCCACAGTGTTCACATTATTTTCCGTAATGGGACAGGTGTGAAAATTCGCTTTACGATTTCCAATCCCTTTGTCCTCCTGTGGGTCTTGTCAAATTCCCACTTGCTTCCAAGCCGTAGCTGGTCCCCGAAGTCTCGATTCTTCGTTTCCTTGGTGCCTTCCTGGGGCACCAGTTGTTTCCCTCTGGGAGTCCATCCTTTCTGGGTTCCTCTCGTAGAATGGTCTCTGGTCCAATTACTCTGCCGTCTCTGTTTGGTTGGCGGTCCTTCTCTCCGCTGGCGTCCGAAGGTTCCCTGGGGAGTTTCCTTCTCGGAGTCATTTCTCCAACGTCGTGCCACTGTCGCGCGACGGGATGTCCTCCTGCGGTTTCCCTCCTGCCGTGTCGCTTCCACACGGCGTGTAGTCACTCAGGCGACGGCCAATTCCTTGTGGGGCCCACGATTTTCCCCTGCTGAATTCTTCACTTCCTGGCGGCGGCGCTCTGCGGCCAGCCCTTGGTCCCTACGCCGTTTCTTCGGTTCTCCGACCGGTATTCTCGGGGCGTCTTCTACGGGGACTTCTCGATGCTCCAGTACGGACTGCATCGCTTCTGGGTGGGGCTCAATCTTCTCGTGGGTGGTACTCCTCTCTTCCCCCCAGGCTTTCCAATCGGCCATCATCTCTTTGTGTCTGGTTTCCGCCTTGGCCTGGTTTGCCTCCATCAAGGCCAGCAATTCTTTCTTTCTTCTCAGCCTGCCTATCGGCCTTCATCTCTTTCTGTCTGGTGTCGGCCTTGGCCTCGTTGACATCTGCTTTTTCTTTGTAAGCTGTCATTTTCTTCAGCAGAAGTTCCAACATCTGCTGCATGTCCATTTTTTGTTGTTGTAGGACGCGTGTTAAAGTTTGTAAAACACTTCTGACACCAATGTAGCGTGTTTTGTGTGTCACGCTACAAATAGATTCACGTAGGCCTCAAATTAAGTAGAACCTTTATTGTCCTTCTGCTTACACAATCACGAGTACAACTACTATTCACTGTGACACCTCAACTGTCTTCTGCGACGGATGTTCCAGGACTGATTCTTAGACGGCTGCTATCCCAAGACTTGCTAACGACTGGCTTCTTAGATGGCTATTCCGGGACTGACTGTCGAATGCTTCCAGCCCCGCTATATAACCTTGGTCGCTGCTATGCAACGAACCCTTTGTTATAACCATGGAGACTCCTGTTAGAACTACAATAGAGCAATTGTTGTTTCCTATGCAACGGTCTATTCTAGCGTTTCCATAGAAGTGACTCTTCTGGATTCCAGACATGTTAAGTAGGTTTGTCCTTGAAAATAAAAATTTTCAAATGTTTTCAAATTACCTATTCAAGCTACACTTCAGATATAGGGTTGGTTCTGGGATAAACTTAAGGTTAAGAGTAGTTTCTGAGGTCATTAGGTTTTTCATAGTTATAAGTTGGTAAGTCGCAAGTCTAAACAATTCCTCCAATTTTGCATCCCTAACACTTCCACAGTGATAAATATTCAAACAGGTTATAAAAAAAGTACTTCTCACAGATAAATAGATTAATCCAGATAAATGTAATAGATGATGTGTGTTACCTGACTGCATACATTTGTTGTCATTCTCATACTGTAGTAGTTTTCATACACATACACAGGTGGCAGCTCTGTTTGAAACTGTGCCATCTGAAGGTTAAAGATGGAACTAACCTCACTGCTCTGTCAATTGTCCTTGACCCTCAACCATATCAGATGGGAGTAAACAGTTCAAGTAACTAACTAATCCTGCAACAAGGTCTCTTGCTGGTGGAATTATTCCAGCATCAGGGTAAAAGTTCCTCAGTGACCACAGGATTACTACTGAATATTCTTGGTCATGAATTAGTCCAGTAGGGCACCCGATTTGAGCTGCCTGTCTGTTTGGTATCAGTGGATCTATTGTTATGGCAGAGATGGGGAATGCTTGTGACGCATCAAGAAGTGCTAATGTCCCGGCTGCAGGATGCAAGAGGAGTCCATCTATATTGACTTGACTCATGTCGGTCAAAGGATTCTTCTTAATATGAAGATCTAAATATAAAAATAATAGTAATTATAAGGTAAAATGAATATGTTGTAACAAAATAACCTGCTCAAAATTAACTTTAATATGCTACTGCTAATTACAAGAAGATAAAAGATGTCGATCTAAAAATCAACAATTTGAAAATTAGTGGAGTGGGTAGAAGGAAATTAGTTAGTTTCTAAAAATTATTATTATCTTTATGGGACTTAATATTGTCAGTTATTAANCGTGCCCATACCCGGCCGCCGGAAGGCAGGGCTGTGATGCTGAAGCCCCGGCGAGTAGGAGGGCGCGGCGGTGAGCGCGGAAGGGTCCGGGCGTGAGCCCGCCTGGAGCCGCCGCCGGTGCAGATCTTGGTGGTAGTAGCAAATACTCAAGAGAGGGCCTTGAGGGTTGATGTGGAGAAGGGTTTCGTGTGAAGAGCTGTTGCACATGAGTCAGTTGATCCTAAGCCCTAGGAGAGATCCGATGCCGATGAGGCGGGGTGGCTCCCCGCCCGTCGAGGGCGAAAGGGAATCCGGTTCCTATTCCGGAACCCGGCACCGGAACCGAACCATCGGGCCCTCGCAAGAGAAGCTCGTCGGGGTAACCCAAAGGGGCCCGGAGACGCCATCGGGAGACCCGGGCAGAGTTTTCTGTTCTGGATAAGCGTTCGAGTTCCCTGGAATCCTCTAGCAGGGAGATAGGGTTTGGAACGCAAAGAGCACCGCAGTTGCGGCGGTGTCCGGGCCGTCCCCTCGGACCTTGAAAATCCGGGAGAGGGCTACGTGGAGGTGTCGCGCCANCAACAAAAATTAGATAGTATGCATCAAGAAACTTGCTCATTTTATCATGATGGGTGTTTACAAGGATTCAGATGTCAACAGATGCACAATTACTCAACCGATAGAATGGGGAGATTTAGTAGGGGATCTACAATACTACAATATGCATTTCCATGGGGCAATTCACTTAGGGATGGCTATCTTTGGGTTATGTTCCTTCAGGAATTTGGATCATATAGATGGGCTGGTTCTCACCTATAAAGGGAGTTGCTTTGAAGAAAAATTATTGGACTTTTTGATAAGAATGACAACATACCTCCAACTGTACCTGAAGTTTCAAACAACCCCTTGCTTTTTGCAGACATGAAGGAGATATGAAAATCAGTTCATCCTAGAAAAAGCAGTATAGCCACATACACTACAACAGTGAACAGTGGACATGCTATAGCATATCTTGTTTTGGAAAGGATCTTGGCCTCTTCAGCGATTGTGGGTTTAGGCCCATTAGAGAGAATAACACCTGTAGTAGGTCTCATCAGTGTAGGAGAGATAGTTGGAATCAGAATAAAGCCCATCATTGATACTTTGGCGGGATATCTATTCCTTCTGTTACCTTATGAAAGTGACAAACAAGACAATGTGCTACAGAATATTTCCCCTCAGAGAACCTCACTGTTTAAACTCAGAATGAAGGTGAAAAGAGTTCCAGTAGGCTTTTCTTTTGGTCTCTATATATTGTTCCTCATCAAAAGCTCCATAAACAATTTATATTTGTTAACCCAATACTGTATAATGACCTGGCAACAGCTGCCAAAAATAACCGCACTGCAAGCTCTTTCGAGTAGAAGGTTCGGGCAACAAAACCTTCATAGTTCCTCAGCACAATTTCCGGCATTATAGCATGGAGTGCAGCATCATCGGTTGTGGTTATAGCCAGAATTCCATCCTTTGGAAGGTTTCGGAAGGCTGAGTCCAAATAATGCGCAGCCATCGTATGGCAGTCCAAGGAGCTGAAATGAAGTCATAACTTTAGTTATAAAGGGCCCTGGGGTGACGATGCGCAACACTCGGGACTATACAGTTTCTTTCAGCTTTGTCCATCATCTGGTATTCTAAGTAACAAAGTCGTTTGGAAAGTGGGTCAGCTTCCAAAATGTTTTGTTCTTTAGACAACAAACTATGGACATAATCCAAGAACTTAATCTTGAAGACACTACAAAGTATATGCCATCCCATTTAAAATATTTTATTGATGACAATATTAACACTCTGCGGACCGGCGATTTAAATATTTAAATCACCCTGGGGACCTGCATTTTTAAACCTACTACCCTAACTTGTGCACTGTTCACTTTAAAAAATAATATAAAATCTCGTAATTAATTTTATGAACTAACATTTTTGGAGAACACTTACCAATGCTCCTAGAAGTGCTTGAGAGTGTGATATTTCTGGAGACATTCCTCTTTGTGAAGTGGCATTACACAGAACTTGCACATGTAGATAGTCATACTCCTTTTGTTGTGTACCGTCTGGTCTGTAGCCCCGGTTTTTGCTACAGTCAGCAGAAATGCCTTGTATTTCAATTTTGAATGAGAGTTTAGATTTTTGAAAACCAAAAATGAATTGAGAATGGCACAATTTATAAGCCACAGGGCAACTTTCTTTGTCCACTTTACTGTTTTCTGAGGAAGAGAATAATAGGCCAAGTACTGATCGGCTCTATCAACTCCCTTCATGAACATATTATACTCGGAAATACAAACAGGCTTCTTTACCTGTCTATGTCTCCTTTGAACATCAACCATGCTTGAATTGTGGAAAAACAGTTCCGCTACTTCAGACACTTGCGTTGGGTCCGATGAAATTTGCTTCATCCCTGGATTTCCAGTAAACTGTCCCAAAGCAGGCGTTTTGTCTAATTTTCCCCATGTGGCTGTCCCCACAATGTTGCTACCTGCACTTTCGTCGGAACTACTGTCACTTTCACTTTCACTGTCTCCGGCCACAATTTTTTTGTTCGCCCCTGCCACACTCACTATCAGATTGTGAGTCGCTATCACTAGCAGACTCACAAGGGACGTCAGATATTTTTTGTTCTCCGAGAAAACGCTTGGACCTCAACCTCTTCCGACCTTGATCCATTTTCCACTAGTATCTTCCTGCCTGCTGCATGCAGATAGAAGATGAACAAAGGCATTTTCTTTTGGAGTGGGAAAGGAAAACAGTTGGGTCATAAACAGCGGGTCATGTTACCAACTATGAAGCAAACATTCAAGAGGTCTATCACGCACCAGTCATGCGTCTGCCTGGCGGCAGTGCAAGTTATAGTGTGTTTCAACATAACGTGTCCTAAAATCATAATACGCCACTGGTCCACCATGTTTAAAAGTGCTGGGCATAAAAATATGCCACCAGTCCGCAAAGTGTTAAAACAGATCTTAGTGAAATGGGGGGGGGGAGGGGGAGACATGAGCTGGATTCATTTTCCTTAGGATACTGACCAATGGCAGGCTGTTATGAACAAGAAAATGAACCTTTGGCCTTCACAGTATGCTGAGAATATCTTGGGCAACTGAGCAACTGTTGACTTCTCAAGGACTCAAGCTATATGGACTTGGTTATTCTAGTGACAATTTATTCCCTAATTATTTGAACTGATGGTGCTCTGCAAAGTGCTACAAAACATGATTTCAAAATCCTTTAATATAATTTTAAAGCATTAGAAAAAAAGCAAAATTCAGAATGGTGATTAATATTGTAATATACAGTATAATAAAAATATGACAGCTGAAAACTATCATTCAATATTAACTACATATTCTTCAAGATTAAAAAGAATACCTTCATATCATGTCGTGGAGACCCACTGTTAAGCTGTGACTCTGTCAACAGCGGCCATTGCTGGGTAATACCTGCTACACGCATGCAACAATAGAACAATGGTGATGCAACCCATTTCTAGACAATGGATCAGTAAATAAGCATCTAAAGCAACAGAGTGATTGTTGGAAACAGTGTTTTCTATTCTGTGCAAAGTGGTTTTAAGGAAAGCAACTGGCATGATCCAGTTAGTTGAGAGCTGAACTCTGCAAGGGAGGCTGAGAAGAGATGGCACTATAGTCAGTTGAGAGTTGAAGGCCTGGGCATGAAGAAAAAATAGTTGCAAGAGCTCAGCTGTGAAAAGAAGACTTTATGTGTGCTGTAGTTACAGTGAGACTGTCATAATTACTGCATTAAAATTCGCTGCCAGGATATGCCTAGTGAAGACTGAGAAGACTTGGCATGGTAGTGGTTTGTAAAGCGTGGAAATCAGCGACAGGGCTGTAATTACTTGTCAGTTCCAAGTGGTGTGTACAAGTGATCAATAAATTCATTTGTGAATCCATAACCTGTCTACAGTCACACACATACTATGTCACAATGTAATAAATATATTTCCATGGTGTTACTGAAAAGAAAGTTAGTCAAGAACTGATCAAAATCATATACGCCCATCCTTACTGAAGAAAATAAAAAGCAGGTTGTGCCTCTAACTATAATACCTTCCAGATAGAAAACCTGCTTATAAACAATTAAGCTGTTTAAGGGTAAAGGATTTCCTGACAGCACTCAGAATAGAATTTTTTAAAAATAGTTTTGATCATTTAAATTGTTGAAATTATTAATTTCTTTTTCTGGTTTTCAAGTTTGATTTCTTAAAAAAAATCCAATGGCAAGGGAGCAGACAACAGGAAGATTCTGTTCTTTTGGATGGAGTCACCAACATGAATGAGTCCTCTTTATTAAGCGACAAGCATAGAGGTGGAGTAGGTCGGTCTCCTGCCTGGCTTTGTGCAGAGGAAATCATATGGCAATGGCTGTACTTGAGCAGATAGAGAGATTCTTTTTCTACTGTTCGCATACAAAGGGGTACCCATACCACACTGCAACTTCCTCTCACTTTCTGCCCTCTTGCATAACCACATACAATCACTTGTTTCACAATGCATACACTGGAAGATAAATTAATAAATAATACAGAAAGATGGTGAGAACATGTATTAAGAATTAAAAAAAGAAAGAATTCTAAGCAAAAAAAAATGTCAATCAGGAAACTGAAGATCAAGATGTGAATAAGAGTTTCTGAAGTATGTCATAGAGAAGGCTGATCTTTGGGAGACAGACTGATAAGATGCCTGGTCGTTAGACAATCCACATAAAAATGGAAACACAGAATTAGGTAAGAAGAAGAAATGAAGAACATGGCTAAATAAAATAATATAATGATTAGGGCTTACCAAATATTGGTTTAATTTGTCTTTTAAATACAAGTTTCCCTTATTACGTTCATTAAAATTTTTAATAAGCAAAAACTTTCTGAATGTTGAAATAACACTAAACCAGTTACATTTCAAAATTTAAATCAGAAGTCAAACTGCAGCAGTATACAAATACAAGAATCCTACTTCTCCTTCCAATACATACATTTACATAGCATGTGGTAGTTTATTTTACACTGCTGCCAACATCTTAATACCACACTGCAGAATGGCAGGATGACTACTGCATTGGAAATGATTTTGAAGGTAGCAGTCAAGGCATAATTGAGGTACTGTGACAGCATTTACTTGGAGGGACTGAGGAAAATGAAAAAACCTCGGTCAGGGCAGCTATGGCATTTGAACCGAACCCCTCCCAAGTACAAGCTTAGAGCATTACCACTACACCATCCAACTCATTTACATGTTCCAAAGTCCGTCCAAGTTAGTGTTGTGGGCTGTTATTTCCGTCAGTACAATTCAGTAATTTCAAAATACATCTTCAACAAACTGGAAATGTTTACATAAGTTTTGAAGCTTTCACATCAAATACATGTGCTCAAATCTTCTTGGGCAATCAGCCGTATCGATGTCGAACTAAAAGCCAACGTTTTACAGATCTTGTCATTTTCCAACATCAGAAATGAAACAGAAACAATATAACTGACAAGAGAGAACACTAGGTTAAGAAACACAGAAACATGTTTGACCCTCCCCTCTTACTTTGCAGTATAGCAACAGAAGAGGCGTTGATTTGGCAAACTGATGTAAATTCAGCGATATACAGTCATTCACCACAGTGACCCTGATGATGGAGACCAAGGAGATCTCTGAAGCACTGGTTTTTAGTTCAACACCGACAACCATGACACACACATAATTTCCCCCTTATATATCAATTACAATTTATCACTCATCTAAGATGAGAATAAATGTAGTAAAGATAATAAAGAAACTTACATAAAATTGTAAGCCTGTTCATGAAGCAAAACACATGTATCTCTGTTTAGAACTTCCACATCTAAATGGTTCAACTCTGCGTTCTCTTTAATTCTTTCGTAAGCTTTCACCCGTGAATCATTTATTGTAACAGCTACATTATCACAAATGTGCTTCTTCCAGAGAAGACCTGTTACACCTGAGGCTCCAATGCCATCCAAGCACCGTACAGGATCAAAGCAAGACTTAGAACTCTTCACATATACATCAAGCACCGTGGTGATTAATGACCTGCAAGAAGTACAAGAAAGAATATTTTGATAAGAGTAGATCAGCAGTTCTCAAAGCTGTGACTATGATGATAACTGTATTCTATAATGTGAAACCATACAGTCTGGAAGGTCATTACTGTGTTCTGAAGGCTCCTCCTACTTCCATATTTAGGGAGACTTGGGGAAATATGTTGTTCCAGAACACCCACAGTGACTCACTGGATAATACGGCATAAAATTCTGGCACACGGTACTTTCAAATTCAGAAATGGCGTGCAGAAACTTATCTCACAGCACCAGCACTGTCATATCACCAGCCTGAAATGATGATAGGAAAAAAAAAGGGTAAAATTATCCATGTGATTAACTAATTAACCACTATGCCATGAAGGCGTATGGGGAAGTGGATGTACAGATCCACATTTTCTTAACCTCAGCACTAGTTGGACATGAGTGGTCAGTTTCATGCCACGGCCACTTTACACCCGGTATCCTTTGGATAGGAGGTTGGGTGGACCCCAGAGCCAGTGTGGACAATGTGGAGAAAATTCTTGACTCTACCGGAACTCAAACTCTGACCCCTTGGTCATCCAGCCTGTGGCCAGTCACTATACCAACTATTATATCCTGGCTCCTCCTGAAATGGTGATACTACAATAAAACAATTTCATCATATCTGGAAGTATATTTAAACTAACTTCATGGAGCTGAGCCATTATTCACAAGCCATCAATTGTACAGATACTCAGGAACTTCGCAGCATTTTATGGAATCCAAAGGTTCATTACACCATGTTCACAAGAGCTCTCCACTGGTCCCTATCCTGAACCAAATCAATCCAGTCCATACTACCCCATCCTGTCTCCGAGATCAATTATAATATTATCCCCTAACCTATGTCTTGGTGTTCCTAGTTGTCTCTTTCCTTCTGGCTTTCCAACCAATATCCTATATGCAATCCTTTTCTCCCCCAACCATGCTACATGCCCCGTCCATCTCAACCTCCTTGACTTGATCATTCTAATTATACTTAGTGAAGAGAGCAAGTTATGAAGCTCCTCACCGTGCAGTTTTCTCCAATTTCCCGTCATGTCAGGTCTCTTTGGTCTAAATATTCTCCTCAGCACCCTGTTCTCAAAAACCTTCAGTCTATGTTCCTCCCTTAATGTCAGAGACCAAGTTTCACAACCACACAGAACCACAGGCAAAATTATAGTTTTGCACACTCTAATTTTCATGTTTTTTGACAGCAAACGAGAAAACTAAAGGTTCTCGACTGAATGGTAGCAGGCATTACCCGAATTCAATCTCCCCTTAATTTCCTCCTGAATCAGGTTTTGGTTTGTTACAATCGTTGTCAAACATTTGAAATGTGCCACATTTTCAAAACATGTGTTATACCTATCTTTACGTCACGATTTTGCCCTGAATTCTGGTGATGAAACAGCAACATATACTTTGTTTTCTCTGTGTTTATTCTAGACCAACCTCCATACTAGCGTCACTTAAAGTTTCTGTGTTTTTATGGTACCGGTGTTATCTCCCAGTAGATACAAATCATCAGCGCACACCTGCATCTGATGTGTCCCATATAATTTCAGTCCCACCTGGTCTCAACCTCAAAAGGACCAGGATCAGGTACTAACAGCTCAGCTGTACGTATTTCTATCTGCCTAACATCACTGACCCAATGTACATTCAATTATTTATATAGTGTCACTTCCAGTCTGTAGATGTCATCATAACAAACATAAGGCACCAGTTCCGAACTAAGGGTCCATGGAACCGCGGGGGTAGGTGAAACCTCATCAGAGAGTCCCATGAAATATTTTCATATAAAGCCAAAATAAAATACCTTCAAGCACTGAGAATATATCATTTGCAGTAACAACACTATTGATGTGTTATGTCTAACAACAATACATACAAAATGAATATATGAACAACTTCAACAATATCTGTAACAGTGTACTGGGTGAAAAAGTAAACATGAGCCCTGCATTCTTGTGCACTGAGTGGCGCTGACTAGCAGCTGGTGGCACGTGCGCCACGAAAGCATCAGCTTACATGGGTACAACCCATGCCAACAGAGTGGAGTGGGAGTTTTTCAATATGATTTATGAACAATCATACTACTGTCATGTGATGTATTCTGCATAGTACTGAGCCCCTAAATATGCACCAGAAATCACTGCTTATTCCTTTGATTCAGGTATCATATATACATTATTACACAATCTCTTTAATTTTTATAATATGTAAAACATGCATATGGCCTTCCATTATTAAAATTTGCAGTAGAAACTGATATGTCTTTGACATTTTTAATAATAATTTATTAATCAGAGAAGTTAGGTGTTAAAACAATTATTCCCAATATACATGTCTACTTAAAGGCAAGACTAATGGCTCATGAATTGTCGGAAAGTCGGAGTTCAGAGCCCTTTCTTTTTAGCTCTTCTGAAGGTGCGATTCTTGTTTCACACATGATTTCATCATTTCAAAGAAACAGTTACCACAACTCACATGTGCTGCATGGTTCCACATTCTTGCATCATGAAGACACTATATAAAATTCACAATGCTTTCTTTGCTCAAAGGTACATAGGAATGGATATATGAAGTAGTCAAAACTCAAGGAATGCCTGTAGACTGTTAACCCTCATAATGCTAAGACATGGAAGCTTTATTCAAAATCAAGTGAGTATGACTTGACAAGCAACGCACACTCTCCAATCACGGATTTACTCCTCAGAAGAAGCAAGCGCCGGAAGAAAGTTATTGCGTGACATTAAGGAACACCAAAGTACCAGAAATAAAAAGGAAGTAGGGAAAAATAAAATCATACTAATGGGGGACAGGACAAGAAATTTGAGGTTATGGACACAGTTATGTCAGGAGCAAGATTACAAAATATTGTGCAACTGTGCGAACAGGAAGTTAACTCCCTAACTAGAGATGATATGGTTATACTACAGGGAGGGTCAAATGATGTTGCAAAAAATGAAATGATGGACTTAAGACACTTAAAAAAGTTTACAAATAGGAAAAATAATACAAATTCTATTTTAATTACAGCCCCTCACAGATGTGACTTAATGGACTCCTCATGTGTTAATGAAGAAATAAAAGTAGCCAATAGGATAATACATAAAATAATGAAGTTAGAGATTAATGTGAAAATACTTGACATTGAATTGGATAGATCATGTTATAACAAGCATGGGCTTCATCTCAATGTAATTGGGAAAAACAGAGTGAAAGAGATGATGATAAACCAGATATGTGAACTCTCAACTAAGGACAAGGGAGACATTATTGCCCAGGGGTGGATATATAATGGAATGAACCTTGCCAAGCATAGGGAAGAAATAATACAAGTCGAGAAGTCAAGGAATCTCAACTGAAAGATGGAAAAGAAAAAGATGATAGTGAAAGTGAGAACTTGAGTGATTGTGATTGTGACCAGACAGTGGGTGTACACAAAGTGGAGGGAAGTGACATCAGAAATCAACGAAATGTAACAGAAACAATCTTTGATCGGGAAAGAGAGCATAGTAATAGAAGAAAAAGAAGACCACCTATCAGAAATGATGATTTTTTATGGGAGTAAAATCAAATAAGTCTCCTTTTAATAAGTGTAATTATATCAAAGACTCTCTAATTATTGTACATCAAAATATCAGAGGTCTTGGTGGCAAAACTGATGAATTGAAGTGTTCAATAGTTAGTAATAATATAAATCCCCATTTAATATGCTTATCTGAGCATCTCATGTCTAACCAGAAATTATTATACAGCAATTTCCCGAACTATTTATTGGGAACAAAGTATGCCCGTATGACTCATCAGGGAGGAGGTTTGTCTATACATAAGATCAGCGGCCTCTGTAGTCTAGGGGTAACGTTCCCACCTCGTGACTCAAAGTACGCGAGTTCAAACCCGGTGGAGATTGTGGAATTTTTAAGGGCGGAAAAATTCAGGGAACAAGTCCTCTGGGAGGGACTTTAAGCCATGGGTCCCGTGTCGTAGCTTTACGGCATGTAAAAAACCTCATGTACCAAAGGGACCACTGAGCCAAATTCAGGACATTTCCCACCCAACAGCAGTCTCTAACGCCTCTGGTAGATGGGGGAAGCATCGAGATACCGCTGAGCCAGTAGAGGCCGAACTCGCTGGCTGAGTCAGGACTGATGGTACGCACCAGTACCAGTAGGGAATAGAGACTGGTAGAATATCATAGGGGGATGCACAATGGACCAGCAGTTGGTGCATGGGGAAACCCACCCTCTCCAATACAATACAATACAATACAATACATAAGATAAGACATAAAATTTACTGCTATAAATTTAGCACAGTTCTGTGATGAAAAGAACATAGAAATTTGTTCATTTAAGATTTCTTTAGCTAAATCCAACATATTTGTACTATGTATATATAGGTTACTTTGTGGGAATTCTGAGTACATTGTAAATAAGCTGGATAAAGCACTAAAATTACTCTATAAACCAAAAATTGAATTTATAATATGTGGTGATTTTAATGTAAATTGTTTAGAAGAGTCAACACGTAAAAAACAGCTATTAGTGCTACTGCAAGCATATAATATATTTCATACAGTACAGTTCCCAACAAGAATAACTGAGACCAAAAGCTTTGCAATTGATTATATTTTTATAGATAAGGCAAGGATAAATTCATATGAAGTAATCTCTATTAGTAATGGACTATCAGATCACGACGCTCAGTGTCTAGTACTAAAAAATATCAATTTCCTGGAGAAGAAAAAAGTGCAGGGAATCACAAGAAGATTAGTAAATGAAGACTCAATTGCTCAATTTCTTAATAAACTATCTAATGAAAAATGGGAAAATATATTGTGACATGTTGACCCCTACCTCCCCAGCGGCACGTAGCGGTAACGTAGCGCTCGCGTAATAGGCGAGTCATCACCCCGCCACTCTCCCCGCGGTGACGTCACGAGCGGAGGCGGAGTTAGCCGAGCTCCCGCAACCT